ATATGATATTATAATAATTGATCGTGATGAATCTACCATTTTATTTTGCAAGTTTTATGGGAACTACAGTGCTTTGAACAGTCAATGAAATTTAAAATAGATTTGGAATCTAAACGGAAACTTTAGCCCCCCAAATAAGCATATTTTTGGATTTGCGCCTGGTAACTCTTACTCAGCAGGCTTATGCAGAATAACAAAGCAAGTACAAGTATTTGTAGTATAGCCAAAATACACTCCTCGTCATTAAATTAATTCATTAAATTAATGTGTTTATTTGCAGGAATTGTGACCTCTGAGAAGAATCGAATCAACGACTATTTTTTATGCATTTTTTAGCACTAATATATATGAGAATGTGCTGTGTAGCTCCGAAAAAGAACATTGCAATAAGAAAATGGAGAAATCAATAATGATTATCCATTACACGTCATAGAGCCGTTGTAGAAATGGGAGAAAGAAGCATCCCAAGATCGGCGAGAACTTATTTTTGACTTTTTTTAGCTTATTAGGTTCTTATATTATAATATTTTTGATTTTTTATTTATTAGAATTAAAAAAAATAATTTTTATTTTATAATATTTCATTAATTTTGTTAATTGACAATTAATTTTATTAGTTAAAAGTAAATTTTTACTAATTAATAATCAACTAATAAAATTAGTAGTCAACTAATAAATTATTCTATTAGTTAATTGTTAATTTTATTAACTGAAAATAAATTTTTATCAATTAATAATCAATTAATAATTAGTTAATAAAGTAACAATTAACTAATAAAACTAATAAAATATTATAAGTGAAGATTATTTTTTTTAATTTTAATAGATAAAAAACTAAAAACTTCATATTATAAAATAAGAGACTAAAATTTACAAATTTAATAAGATAAAAAGCCAAAAATAAGCTTTTGCCGACAAAACCCGTCTTTCCTTCTTTTTCGTGTATTTTAATCTGAAAGCAGGTTATGAAATGGATTTATCATTATCGTAAGTCTTATATCTGCCCCTACTCATAAAATTCAAATATGAAACCTAAATTTTGTTTTTCTTTACTACCCTTTCAACATTTGAAAGCTATATTAAACTCTAATTAATCTAAAATTGAATTGTGTCAAAATAAGAAAAACTCTCCTCACACTTATTTCTCAAACTCGATATCTTATTTAAAAAAACTAAACTCTTTTTACTTAAACTAACAAATCAGTAAAACGTTAAATTTGTTGTCAGAGTAGAAAACTAGAATCTCATTTAACCAACCCAACCATATGAGTTCATATATCTTGCGTTCAAATCTTAAGACAAGTGAAGTAGGATTTGAAAACGAACAGAAAAACAAAAAAAAAAATGTTAGTAGCTACTGGCAAGTAGAATCAATCATAAACTCAAAACAGGTGTAAGCAGCAAGAGGAATGGAGAAACAGCACCATTCATTGGCAATGGAATTTCTTCACTCAAAATAGTTTGCAAACAGTTTCAACTACCGCTGATACAATAAGGATATATATACAACATCACCGTAGTTCTTTAATATTCAGCTACATAGTATCAAAAAGAATCACCTACTTTGCCAGAGAGTTCTTTAATATTCAGCACATAAAAGAACTGCATTTTCTAGTCTCTTGATCACTAAGAAAATTATGTCCTGTTTTAAGATCATGGGATGAGAAGAACATGGCACAGAAAAAGGGGAAAGATACGGGTAGTGAAACTGTCAATTCAAGGAAAGAAAAGAAGACCAAATAAAGATGGAAGTGAAGTTACCTTCTTATTCATGCAGAAGCTCTCACGTGGGCTGGCTGACGATTGTAATGGGGATTCTAAAACTGTGCCATTCAGTTTTAATTCACAACCCCTCTTCTTAACTGATGCCTTCTAGGCAAGAGAACTACCAAAAAATGTGTAGATATGCTCCTTAGTTCAACAAAGGATAATGTCTGCATTTAATGTTATATGATATGGGTGATGATTACCTTCATCTATGCTGCAAAAGCTGTCTGGGGGGAAGACCACTTCTGCATCCAAATTTTTCTGGGATGCAATGATTGAAGCGATATAATTTTTACTACAGAAAAAAGGCCAATAACCAGAGTCATATAATTGAGATTTTTTGTACCAAAATAAAATAATAATCTATATTTTGGTACTAATGAGTAATAACTACTAAAATGTAGCTAACAAGAGGGTTTAAGGCTTCTTACACATGTTTTTAAACACTAGTTTGGTTTAAGACGACGGTTTAGTTACATACCTGGCCCAAGAAGGGATAAACTTTTTGTTTGGTACATCTTCTTCGTCTTCATCATCTGAACCTTTGTATGGAGAAATATCATATGACTCTTCTTGTATTGTATTGGCAATCAGGTTATTGTTTCCTTTTCCTTCTTCTACTTCCCTAATCACCTACAAAGAGTTTCTGAGTCTCATGAGGCTACAATGAAGAATAAGTAACAAATAAAATGACC